ATTAAATTTTAAACCTCTACCTTCTTCCTCTCAACTAATATATACAACAATGATAATAAATATTCCTATTATTGTTTTGATTAATACATCTAATAGTTTGTCAAAAATGGAAATAGCTTCAAGTCAAATGTCTATGTCTCAAATAATAATGGATTTATTATCATATATTCTGTCAAATAATTGTTAATAAAATCAATTTAACAGAATTTTTGTTTTTCTTTATAACCTAAAACACAATTAAAAATAAAATTTTGGAATATGACTCAGAACCTTCTGTTTTTCTCTTTTCAACTTCAATTCTATTCCAATCTATCTTCTCTTTTCTTCTATATCCACGTTCTTCTTCTTGGTTTATTTATTGCTTTCTTTGAACTTGAAAAATCAAAAAGGTTATGAACTGTTTCATCATAGCTCTTCTTTGTTATATTGCTTCAGCAGTTCGTCCAATTGTCAACGGACCAACTTCCCTTGATGCAACTAAATGTCTTTATGAAGAATCATATCCAAAAGTAGCTGGTTTTATTGGATTTAATTTCACTGGTAGAAATAATGAGAATGCTTACAAAAACAACGTCAACCTTATTACTGCTGGATTTATCAAAGAAAACATCTTTGTTGTTTTCAGAGTTTGTGCTACTTGTGGAACTATTCAAGGTCAATGGAATTCTTTCTTAAGATCAACTGCTCATATGCAATTTGAACATATTATTTTTGAAATTAGAAAACAATATTGGTATTCTTCTGAAGTCTGGAATAGAATGTCATTTGACCAACTTATGAACGTTACTGCTGACTATCCAAAGAGTAAATACCTTCTCATTAATCAAGAAGAATGGAACAGCATGTTCTATCTTGATTATCATGTTCCATACACTAACAAGTTTAAATTAATTTACAGCGTTCCATCTGGATCTTGTTCTGACAAATATGACTTTATTCCATTTGCTGGTTATGACAATTACGCTTACAAATATATTGAACATTTACAAACTTCTTGTGGAACTTCTTACAACATTTTCTGTTAAGAAATGAAATGAATTTCTTTTATTTAATTTGGTTACATTTCCTTTCATTAAATTTTCTAAATTTACATTGACTTATAACTTATGATTTTTATTTCTTAAGTTTTTATTTCTTCACAATTTGGTTGAATTGTTCTTTAAAACCATAATACTTTTTTCTGTTTTTATTTCTCATAAATTTCTCTGTTCTGATTAAATAACATGAGCTGTTAATATGAATTGAAATAGTATATCTTACTTTTCAACAGTAAATGACAGCAAGAAATATTCAAAACATAAACGTAATTATGATATATAACATAATACTAATAATGTTATGAAATATTATTTAAATCAACTTTTAAACAAAAGAATCAATTAAAAAGGAAGAGGGACATTATAAAAAGAAGAAAGTTCCTTCATTTCATTGATAGTGACTAAAGGTAAGTCGTCACCGAATTTTCTTCGTTTTTGTTCTGTTTCATATTCCTTTTCTCCAGCAGTATAAATACGATCATGACCAGGGAGTTTGTCAGTGTTTCTAAGAGTACGATTAATGTCACCGACGTTTTTCTTAAATTCATTCAAATCTCTGAAACATTCGACGTTAATTGCAATAAAGAAATGACCCAAAGAAAACTTTCCTGACTTTTCTTTTTCTTCTTCAATGTGATTTAAGAAGTTTGCAATACTTAAACAACTACTCATAATTTCAACGAATTCTGATAAACAATAACCTTTATGACTTCCACTAACTTCATCACTTCCTCCTAAAGGATGAAGATAAGCTTTTCCTTTAGGATAATTTTCAAGTAATTCTTTTGGATCTTCAATTGGTTTTCCACCTTTCATTGATGCCCAACTTTTATCAACAGTTTTTCCCATTCTAACATATTTTTCAAATCTTCCTGTTGGTGATATAGATGTTGCTCCATCAAAACAATATGGAAATGCTTCATCTGATGGAATTCCAATTGCAAGTGGATTTGTTCCAAGGATTGGTTCATCTCCAAATGTTGCTGCAACTGATGATCTTGCATTTGTTCCACAAATTCCAAT